ATCTGGGGATGAAGCAAACTTGATCGTGGTGGATAAGCTTTTTGATATGCTGCAGGATTCGGTTTACCAGTATTATTATTATTATTATTTTTAGGATTTTTGCGTTGATCTTCATCAGGGGTATTGGCCTGAAGTTTTCTTTTTCTGTTGTATCTCTGCCAGGTTTTGGTATCAGGATGATGCTGGCCTCATAAAACGAGTTAGGGAGAAGTCTCTCCTTTCCGATTGTTCGGAATAGTTTCAGAAGAAATGATATCAACTCCTCTTTGTACCTCTGGTAGAATTCAGCTGTAAATCCATCTGGTTCTGGGCTTTTTTTTTTTTTTGGCTGGTAGGCTATTTAATACTGCCTCAATTTCAGAACTTGTTACTGATCTATTCATGAATTCAACTTCTTCTTGGTTCAGTCTTGGGAGGGAGTATGTATCTAGGAATTTATCAATTTCTTCTAGATTTTCTACTTTATTTGTATAGAGGTGTTTATAGTATTCTCTGATGGTTGTTTGCATTTCTGTGGGGTCTATGGTGATATCCCCTTTATCATTTTTTATTGTGTCTGTTTGATTCTTTTCTCTTTTATTCTTTATTAGTCTAGCTAGTGGTCTATTTTATTAACTTTTTTTCAAAATAAAAAAACAGCTCCTGTATTTGTTGATTTTTTTAAAGTGTTTTTTGGTGTATCTATCTCCTTCAGTTCCACTCTGATATTTGTTATTTCTTGTCTTCTGCTAGCTTTGGGGATTGTTTGCTCTTGGTTCTCTAGTTATTTTAGTTGTGATTTAGGGTGTTGATTTGAGATCTTTCTAGCTTTTTGATGTTGGCATTCAGTACTATAAATTTCTCTCAACACTGCTTTAGCTGCATCCCAGAGATTCTGGTACATTGTATCTTCGTTCTGATTGGTTTTAAAGAACTTCTTCATTTCTACCTTAATTTCATGATTTTCTCAGGAGTCATTCAGGAGCACATTGTTCAATTTCCATGTAGTTGTGTGGTTTTGAGTGAGTTTCTTAATCTTAAGTTTTAATTTGATTGTGCTGTGGTCTGAGAGACTGTTGGTTTTAATTTCAGTTCTTTTGCATTTGCTGAGAACTGTTCTACTTCCAGTTATGTGATCAATTTTGGAGTAAATGCCATGTGGCACTGAGAAGACTGTATATTTTGTTGTTTATGGATGAGGAGTTCTGTAGATATCTATCAGGTCCACTTGATTCAGAGCTGAGTTCAAATCCTGAATATCCTTGTTGATTCTCTGTCTCGATGATCTATCTAATATTGACAATAGGTGATAAAGTCTCCCACTATTATTGTGTGGGAATCTAAATCTCTTTGTTGGTCTCTAAGAATTTTTTTTTTTTTATGAATCTGGGTGCTGCTATACTGGGTGTATATATATTTAGGAGAGCTAGCTCTTTTTGTTGAATTGATCACTTTACCTTTATGTAATACCCTTGTTGATTTTTATCTTTGTTAGTTTAAAGTCTGTTTTGTTACTAGAATTGCAACTCCTGCTTTTTTTTTTTTTTTTTTGCTTTTTATTGCTTGGTAAATTTTCCTCCATCCCTTTATTTTGAACCTATATATACCTCTGCACGTGAGCTGGTTCTCTTGAATACAGCACACCAATGGGTCATGACTCTATCCAGCTTGCCATTTTGTGTCTTTTAATTGGGGACATTCAGCCTATTTACATTTAAGGTTAATATTTTTAAGTGTGAATTTGATTCTGTCATCATGATGCTAGCTGGTTATTTTGCAGACTTGTTAATGTAGTTGCTTCATAGTGTCATTGGTCTTTGTACTTCAGTGTGTTTTTATAGTGGCTGGTAATAGTTTTTCCTTTCCATATTTAGTGCTTCCTTCAGGAGCTCTTGCAAGGCAGGCCTGGTGGTGACAAATTTCCTTAGTATTTGCTTGTTTGAAAAGGATCTTATTTCTCCTTTGCTTATGAAGCTTAGTTTGGCCAGACAGAAAATTCTGGGTTGGAAATTCCTTTCTTTAAGAATGTTGAATATTGGCCCCCAATCTCTTCTGGCTTGTAGGGTTTCTGCTAAGAGGTCTGCTGTTAGTCTAATGGGCTTCCCTTTGTAGGTGACCTGGCCTTTCTATCTGGCTGCCTTTAACATTTTTTCCTTCATTTTGACCTTGAAGAATCTGATGATTATGTGTCTTGGGGTTAATCTTTTCATGGAGTATTTTACCGGAGTTCTCTGGATTTCCTAAATTTGAATGTTAGGCCTATCATGCTAGGTTGGTGAAGTTCTGCTGGATGATATCCTGAAGTATGCTTTACAACTTGGTTCCATTGTTCCCCTCTTTTTTAGATAACCCAATTCTTCGTTGGTTTGGTCTTTTTACATAAACCCATAGTTCACAGACCCTTTATTTGTTCCTTTCATTCTTTTTGTTCTAATCTTGTCTTTCTGTCTTATTTCAGCAAGATAGACTTTGAGCTCTGAAATTCTTTCCTCTGCTTGATCTATTTGGTTATTGGTACTTGTGGTTGCATTGTGAAGTTCTCGTGTTGCATTTTTCAGTTCCATCAGGTAATTTATGTTCCCTTTAAAGTGGTTATTCTGGTAAACAGATCCTGTAATGTTTTATTATGGTTCTTAGCTTCTTTGAATTGGGTTAGAACATGGTTCTTTAGCTCAGCAAAGTTCATCACTACACACATTCTGAAGCCTACTTCTGTCAATTCATCCATCTGTCTCTGCCTACTTCTGTGCCCTTGCTGGAGAGATGTTGTGATTATTTGGAGGAGAAGAGGTACAGTGGCTTTTTGAGCTTTCAACTTTTTTTGTTGATTCTTTCTCATTTTAATGAGTTTTTCTAGCTTTGATCTTTGAGGCTATCGACCTTTGGATGGGGTTTTTATGGGAATTTTTTTGTTGATGCTGTCGTTGCTGTTGCTTCCTGTCTGTTTTTCTTTTAACAGTCAGGCTACTCTTCCACAGGGCTGCTGCAGTTTACTGGGGGGTCCACTCCGGACCCTAGTCACCTGGGTCCCACCTGCATCCGGAGGTATCACCAGTGGAGGCTGCAGAATGGCAAAGATGGCTGCCTGCCCCTTCCTCTGGGAGCTCTGTCCCAGAGGGGAACCAACCTGATACCGGTGGGAATGCTCTTGTATAAGGTGTCTGGTGACCCCTGTTTGGGTGGTCTCACCCAGTAAGGAGGCATGGGATCAGGGACCCATGTAAAGAAGCACTCTTGCTGTCCCTTGGTGGAGGGGGTGTGCTGTGCTGGGGAGAAATCTCACTTGTCCAGACTGCCTGGATTCCTTAGAGCCAGCAGAGGGAAAGACTAAGTCAGCTGATCCATGGAGACCATAGCCACCCCTCCCCCGTGGGGCTCTGTTTCAGGTAGATCAGAGTTCTGTCCATAAACCCCTGGCTAGAGTTGCTGAAATTCCTGCAGGAAGGCCCCAGCCAATAAGGAAGGCTGGGTCAGGGTCTGGCCTAAAGAGGCAGTCTGGGCTGGCCGCAGTGGCTCATACCTGTAATCCCAGTACTCTGAGAGGCTGAGGTGGGTGGATCACCTGAGGTCAGGTGTTCCAGACCACCCTGGCCAACATGGTGAAATCCCATCTCTACTAAAAATACAAAAATTAGCCAGGTGTGGTGGTAGGCGCCTGTAGTTTCAGCTACTTGGGAGGCTGAGGCAGGAGAATTGCTTGAACCTGGGAGGCGGAGATTGTGCCATTGCACTTCAGCCTGGGCAACAGAGAAAGACTTCATCTCAAACAAACAAACAAAATAAACAGACAAACAAAAACCAAACCAAACCAACCAACCAACCAAACAAATACTAAAGAGGCAGTCTGGCCAAAAATCTGCCACAGCTGCTGTGCTGTGCTGTGAGGAATTCCTCCTAGGTCCAAACTGTTCAGTCTTCTGGCACTGGCAGAGGAAAAATGGCAGACTGGAGCCACAGTGATGGCTGCCACCCCCACTTTGGGGAGCTCAGTAGTCTTAGGCAGGTGGCATCTGCTGTGATGGTTGCCGCCCCTCCCACTGGGAACTCAGTAGTCTTAGGCAGTCTCCAGCTGTGTGGCTGCTGAGAATCTGCACAGCTCTGTGCTTGGGACCCAAGGTCCTTGTGGTATGGGCTCATGGAAAAAGTGTGGCTTCCTAGGCAGGAGAGCACAATCACTCACTGCCTCCCTTGGCTGGGTGTGGGGACTCTCCTTACCTGAAGTGGCTCCCAAGTGGCTGTCACTCCACCTGCTTTTCCTTGCTGTCCGTGGGTCGCACCATCTGCCTTGTCATTGCCCATGAGAGAACCTGGATATCTTAGTTGCTGGTGCAGGATTCACTTTCCATTTTCGTTCTTCTTGGTGGAGGCCTCTAACTACAGCAAGAAATTAATAACAGAAATTATTCAGCTGGGTTCAGGGGCTCATACCTGTAAGCACAGCCCTTTGGGAGGCCGAGGCAGGTGGATCACCTGAGGTCAGGAGTTTCAGACAAGCCTGGCCAACATGGTGAAACCTCATCTCTACTAAAAGTACAAAATTAGCCACACGTGGTGGTGCGCCTGTAATCCCAGGTACTCCGGAGGCCGAGGCAGGAGAATTGCTTGAACCCGGGAGGCAGAGGTTGAAGTGAGTGGAGATCTCACCACTGCACTCCAGCCTGTGCCACAGACTGAAATTCCATCTCAGAAAAAAATTATTCATTCAATTTTAGCTCACATGATATATATAAAAAATGAAGGAATTTCTCATAGCAGAATTGGGAGCAAGAGTATAAAAATACTTTGGGAAGGATCAGAAAGACTAATATTAAAAATGTATTTTTGCCTCCTTATTCAAGTCCCTGTAGCTGATCATTAGCTCTCTGGAGTACATTATGTTTAAAGTCAGAGGCCACTGTATCTCATGTTATATCACCTAGTAATGGAAAAAGAAACTAAGACAGGGATTAAAGTTATGACTCCTTTAGAAAAGTGTACTAAGTCAGCGTTGAAAGCAAGGCATAATTTGAAATTATGCTGATATTACTCTGCTTTTCATCTGCTGTGTTGAAAGCCAACTTATCATTTTTCACATTATTGCATACATCTAAAAGATGTCATAAACAAAGACTGGGAAAGTGAACACTGAAAAATTGAGAAAGTTTTATTTGTTGGAGGTAATGCGGTTATGGTTGAAATTTTTCTTTAATTTTGTCTATTATTATTGTTTTATTTATGCAGTACAGAAAAGAGTCACAACTTTTTCTTTCTTAGCAAAGTTCCTATTATTCTCTTGTGTTCAATGTTTTCCAAGCAAATTCCTGTCCCTCAGGAAATTTGCGCTACTGTGAACTCTGCTCTGCCTTCTAAAACAACATAGCAAGAATTAGAAGTCTTTAAACCTCTTAAAGAAAGATAACCGCTTAAGGAAAGATCATTGTCTTGGCCATAAAAAGTTCACTATGAATTTGTTCTCAATATTAAACATATAGCAGAATATTTTATGTATCTTTTAATATTGCTCATTAAATATTAGTAGAAATTTACTATAAATTTTTTAATCATTCGAGTTTATTGCAAAATTTTGAATCAATTACACCCAATTGTAATTACATTTCTGTAATTTATCATGCTAAACCTTGTACGAATAGTCAAAGAGGACATAGTATACAAAGTTAATAACACAAAGATAGTTTGAGTAATGTGGTGGGAAGACTGTATCAAGAGATTGGAAACACCCTGGGATCAAGACCAAATTCGAATGATTTGCATAGCTGTGGGAACCTGTGGTGTAACACATGGTCTGATTTCTGCTTTCCTGCATTATGTGTTAGAAATAGTTTGTGAAGGAACTCATCAATTTTGTAGCTTGCTTTATTTAGGCTCTCTACAGAGCATCTATACTGTGTAATTGTTCACTTTGTTTATCTTGTGCAGCTGTTTGCTAGAGAAACATAGGAAGAGTTTTGCAAACAATTAATTTTTTTTTTTTTTTTTTGCGACAGAGTTTCACTCTGTCACCCAGGCTAGAGTGAAGTGGCTTGATCTTCAGTTCATTGCAACCTCTGTCCCTTGGGTTCAAGTGATTATCCTGCCTCAGCCTCCCAGGTAGCTGGGATTATAGGTGCTTGCCACCACATCTGGCTAATTTTTGTATTTTTAGTAGAGATGGGGTTTTGCCATGTTGGCCAGGCTAGTCTTGGACTCCTGACCTCAGGTGATCCACCTGCCTTGGCCTCCGAAAATGCTGGGATTACAGGTGTGAGCCACCGCACCCAGCCAGAAAAACCTCTCTTAAGATATCAGGAGTTGGAGATATGGTCACAACTACTAACAGAAAAAAATTATATAGATATTTTAAAATGGAAGGTAATCCACCCCCACTATTCCACTAAACTGCTAACATAAAGGTCTATAATGACTTCCATGTGACCTAATCTAATAGCTACTTCTCTATTCTTGTCTATACACCCTCTATAATATATACTGTATGTGCCAGTTAATTTCCAGAAGAGGACTAGAGTATAATATGATACTAGGTGTGCATATATGCTAGAACTATGAGTGAACCCAAGCCCAGAAGAAATAGACTTAGTAGGAATTTAAGGTAGAAGGAGTAGAACTGAACTGAGATACTACACAGGTCAATGTCCAAGTACCAAAGGAGTGTGGCAGATTGCAGACTAGGCATCAGTAACCAAAGGCTATTTATTTGTATAACAGGGCTTGAGGAAAAAGGTATGGGTTGCAGAGAAAGCCATGAAGTGCTACATAAGGAGCCAGGCTATTTTACAGATTCTTTCCAAATAATGGTGAACAGAACAGGGCCCATTTCCCAGGGAGAGAAGCCGATAGGAATCAGGTAAAAAGTAGACCACAGCATTGACTTGACTACAGAATGAGAATCCCACTCCTTAGGCATGAAAAACTATGGACCCCGGTGGATTGAAGGAGGTATATTCACCTAGGTTTCCTAAAAGGATTAGGTGCTCAGTCTAGTTACTACATGGGGCTATTCCAGGGTGCACTATCTGATAGCATCACAGAAGTGGACCAATGGCTTCATCCTCTGGCAAGAGCAATTTTAAGGATTTCTAGACAGCACTGGTTTGTAAGTCAAGAGGTTTTGGTACCTTGCTCACTTAGGCCCTTTGTTTGATACATACAAGTGGCATCCCTGCACACTGAAGATAGTTAGGAACTGCTTCGAAATTGCTGGCATGGGGCTAAGACAGGAGAACGGACTGGAAAACTTAAATGTTACTATCAACTAAAATTCTTTTAACTTCATTTTCACTCCTTACCCATTCTATAAATATGTGGGTATTTGTTAAGATCCAAGTACAAGACTCTGTTAACTTTCATCTTATTCAATTGGGATCTATCTCTAGTCTCTCAAGAAAATTAATGTTTCTGATTATATTTAATGTATTCATTATCCTTTCCAATGCATATGTTATTCACATGCTCAGTGAACATATCCTCTACAACATCTTAATTGACAGATAAAGATGAACAAGAAGATCAAGAACATAACCCTGCAGCATATCACCACAAACCTCCCAACAGGTCAACATATTAATCTTTGACCTTTGGTTATGAGTCATTTGAACAGTTTCTAATTTACCCAGTTGTTCTTAAGTAAGCCCATATTGCCTCAACCAGTGAGGGAGAAGTGAGGGAAAAGATCACGATGAGGAAGCAGAAGGCTTGGTAAGCCATGCTAAGGACTTTTTACACACTATCTACAATTAATGAGGGTCCATTAATGGTTTTAAACAGTGGAGGGAGATGGTCACAGTCTTATATTAATGGGTCTGTGCAACCTTCTTAGTTTGTTCTTCATTAATTCTTCTTCTTATATCTTTTGAATATAATTTAAAATATGAGCTCATCGAGTAACTAGAAAAGGAAAACAAACTAAAGAAATGTCAAATGCATTTCTAGTTCCAGCCACCTCCATGACCTGATGTGCTTGCCCTTTCCTCACTACTTTCACCTGGCAGATTTCTATACATTCTTCACATTTAACATGTACATTGTTATATCAAATCATATGTTAACTCTATAGTATTTCATGAAAGATACATACATTCCAGTATATATTTAACATGTTCTATGTCCACTTACAAATGTCCCTTCTTTTTCGTATGAGTATGATTGGCCTTGAGATGTTGGAGTTCTGTCTTGTAAAGACTCCTTTGCAGGCCTTCCTTTGTGGCTAATTCATACCTGCTTTTCAATAACTATTCTTTAGGTTTTCCACACTCTCTGGTCTCATACTTTATCACTAGCAGCTCCTTCACAGATATACTTTCCTCTTTTTCTTTGTAGTTGGCATACAACATTCCTGTCCACTGATGTTTATTAAATATTAACATAATACTTACTCTAGGGGGATACTTGTCTCATGGTACTATTGTATTAGGAAAGCAATTAAATACTAATTAATTTTTAACTCTTTATTTTCTTTTAAAATACATAGGTCACAACTCCATTGGGAGCTCCTTCTCTAATGGTACCTCAGCCCATGATTCATACCCAGCAAGGCCTAAGGACCAGTACTCCTTCCACTCCATCCGCAGAACATCAAGTATGTTTGGGCTATTGTTGCTAAGGGCCTTAGCAGAGATAGGCAGTCAATGGAGGCAGGATCAGTGTTATAATGGAGTTTTGTAACATAGCCATCTTTTGTGTACTGTTGGTCTCTCATAGAAGAAAGCCTAATTCTAACATTTCCATCATCATAGAAAGACAGAATTGTGCAGACCTGATGCAGACCTCTATAAACTTGTGTTGTTAAGCCTCAACTGGGTTCTTATATTTATGCAGCCATGCTTTTATTCATTCATCTGTTCATTCAACAAACCCAACCATGATTAGTATTGGAGAAGTGGCTAACCCAATCTGGAGATTTCAAGGATGACTTACCAGAGAACTGATACTTTAGTTGAATGATAAGATTTAAAAATAGAGAGTCAACAGAGTGAGAAAGGATGCTTCAGATAAACATACACACAAAGAAGGAAGCACAAATCACCATGGGAACTCAAGGAAGGGAACAATTCATTTAGCAATGGAAGCTTTCAAGTGTTGAATGATAAAGAAGATTTCAAATAGTAGATGCATAGAGGACAGAAGTTTGGCATTACTGGCAGAAAGAATAGGTTCAGCGAAGAAGTAGAAGTAGGCAGTGGTAATGCGAATGAGTATAGCTGAAGTGTCATGATCCAGGTGTCCATTGTCTCAGAGTATTGTTTTCTAGAAGACTTTACTAGGTTTCTTCTTTCAGTCTTCAGCTGATGTGCAGAGCCCCCGATTCCTCAATGTTTGTTTTAGGAGAACTGAATAAGCTTCAGGTGTTAGATAATGAGAAAAATGACCAGAGTTTTGTATTAAAATATTTGTGATTTATTTCATAACCACAAGGAAAATATGTATAAATGATTAAATATTTATAGATCTGTCTTTCTTTTATTCAGACGCAGTCCAAGTACAGATACCAAAGCAAAAAGATTAATATTCAGAAGTGAATAAAAAGATGATCTTTCAACAGGCTGAACTGAATCCTCCACATAGTCCAAGGAAAATAAACATTTAGTTGGACATTCAATACTCTTGAAATTCTTTAATTTGATATTTAGAGGTTATGTGCTGTATTTTTTTATTTTAATAGTTAATAATTCACCTAACCCACTCTAGTCTTCCAACCACAACCCCTTCCCTAACAAGTTCTTAAAACCATGTGTATCAGCTCAGTGCAGTGGCTGCACCTCACTTTGGGAGGCTGAGGTGGGAGGAGGATGACTTGAAGCTAGGAGTTTGGATCAGCCTGGGCAACATAGTGAGGCCCCATCGCTACAAAATCACAAAATAAAAAAATTAGTTGGAATGGTGGCATGCACCTATATTCCTAGCTACTTGGTAGACTGAGGCAAGAGGACAGCTTGAGCCCAGGAGATTGAGGCTGCAGTGAGCTACGATTGCACCATTGCACTCCAGCCTGGGTTACAGAGAGAGACCTTGTCTCTAAAAAAAAAAAGCACACATACGTCATGTGTCATACAGGTCCAGTTCTGGGCCCTCTGAGTGCCCTCAGTAGCCACATTACAAGCCTTACTTCATACCAGTTGTCCTTCAGTTGCTTGGCCCCTTTAGGGACTACTTCAGATCTAGTCATGACTCTCATCTAATCCAGAGCTAGGTCCCTAGGTAAAAGCTCAGGAACTCATCCCTTGAAGACTGCCATGGAGTGATAATTCACTTTCTTCCTGTCCTCATAGAGAGTCTAGTGGCATTATTTTGCTGACATGGATTTCCTGAGTGGACTCTCCAGACTCCCAGCATGTAATTGCTGTAGCTGCTCTCTAAGCAACAGCAAGAGCAATGGTTGCCCATGATTCCTTGTCTTGGGCAGGGAGTGTGATCCCTGAGTAATATAAGCTCACCTTGGCCTGGGAAATTTCATCAAATATTCTGGTCTCTGCTTTCTTGAAACTGTTAGGTGCCCACACACTGTTATTTTTGAGCCATCATCTGTATCACAAATCAACAGAAACTACAATATGTGAAAGGAGATGAATTTTTTAGAGATTAGCAATTCCAAAACCCTCTTTAGGAAGTTTACAATTTTGCTTATAGCCATTACTGGAAATAGTGAAAAAAAAAAAAAGTTTACAATTAAATACATTCTTTTAGAAACAAAGGTAATAAGTACTTATAATTTATAATCTAATTATTTTTTGACATTTGTGTGTTACCTGTATTCTTGAGATTATTTACATCCATTGTATCTGTGTGCTACTGGGCATGTTTTCCCAACTCCCTGTGGATTGAAATCACCCACTGTGGGAGTATCTACACCACAGAAATTGGCAAATGCTACAAGCTATGGCTTGATCAGTTTGACACTCTGGACTTAAAGCAATGGAGAAAATGTTACTAATACAGATTCAGCTTAAAAGTGAGTTGTGTCTGTAGTCATTATTGTGAATAGCACCAAAAAATAAGGCAATATTTTTCTGGTATTTGAAAAGCATAATCTAATTCAGGAAATAAGTGACTTACATTGTTGATGAATGATCCAAGTACCAATATAAAAATAATTGTTGAATTAATTTTTTATTACTACTTAAGATAAATGAAATAAGGAACATTCATGACAGAACTACACTAGTTCATCAATTGCAACTACAGGTTGTCTAGGGAGATATGTATTTGGCAAAAATCAAAAGCATCCTGTCAGAATTGGTTATATGGAATCTATAATAAAGAGTATTGTATATTTTATTATCACGTATGAAATTGCGTGCTATACATCTTTTACATTAATACAATTTATAATAAATGTGTAACTCCTTTCTACAATCAGTTGAACATTTATCAGCACACTATGTGAAAATGATTTTTTAAAAGTTGTTCTGTTTTCTTTTGTATATATTTATTCTTCACATTTTGTTTTATTTTGTTTCAAAAGTGTCCATGATGAAAATCTACAGCCTTTTAAAGTTGGTTTTAAAAAATTCTTTTACTAAAGCAATCTAAAGACAAGCTGTAAAAGGTGTGGGCTACTGAAGGCTTACTAAAGACCAATCATATTTAAGGTCAGGTAATAGCTAGATTTGGATCTGGCAAGAAGCAGCTTTTTTTGTTTGTTTGTTTTTTGTTTGTTTGTTTAACTAAGAGAAAAGAAAATGACTACCTATAGAGTTGATAAGCTTAGTGTATTCTTGGAAAAGGTGCTGCAGCCATGGCAGGAAGGAAACAGAGGAGTCAGAAGGAATTGGTATAAAACTTTCTAATTAAGAGAAGACTAGAGTCGGGCACAGTGGCTCACGCCTGTAATCCCAGCACTTTGGGAGGCCGAGACGGGTGGATCACGAGGTCAAGAGATCGAGACCATACTGGTCAACATGGTGAAACCCCGTCTCTACTAAAAATACAAAAAATTAGCTGGGCATGGTGGCACGTGCCTGTAATCCCAGCTACTCAGGAGGCTGAGGCAGGAGAATTGTCTGAACCCAGGAGGCAGAGGTTGCAGTGAGCCGAGATCATGCCATTGCACTCCAGCCTGGGTAACAAGAGAGAAACTCCGTCTCAAAAAAAAAAAAAAAAGACTAGAAAGGTAATATATGGAAATATATATATATATATATATATATATATATATATATATATATGTATATATATGAATCTTCTGTTTGTACCTGTAAGAGAGTAAAACATGAGCAGTAAGCTTATAAGGCTTTTGGCTCCAAAAGAAAAACCTGGCCTGAAGAATCAAATAACATATCTCTTAGAGGGATTTATTCCAGATTAGAATTAGTCATAATTTGGAGAAATATTTTCTAAAGTTTGAAGTCGTTGATTAGTTCTAACAATGATTACTATAGATAGGGATCAGTGAAGTTGAACCAAATTTGCAAGTGTGTCTGAAAACTCAATGTTTTTCTGTAGAAACCTTACCTACTTTTCAAAAACAAAATATTTTTGGAAGGCATTGAGGTGGGGGAGAGTGGTGAAGAATAGAGTTCCCATCTACTTTTCTCTGTAGGAACAGAGACATTATCTCACAAAGCCAATGAGCAGAAAAGGTCAGCATCATGGTTAGGTAACGTGTCTTCATCTTCCCAAGCCAAATAGCATAGAAGGCACTGGAGAACTAGTTTGGAGTTCCCGCTTCATTGCCATGTAGAGGTTCACTGAGGTTTAGTTTTCTCATTCACAATATGATGATACCAATTTGTTCCTCATTATATATAAAGACGTATCTATAGCTATGTGTTTGATTGACAGTACATTATCTATGGAGATAAACCGGTAATAGTGATTGCCTCTGAGAAGAGAGAGTTACTTTCCATTGCATAATTGTTATGTTTATGGTGGAATTTGTGAGAGTGGATGAAGCTCTGCTTCACTGGGAAACACTCCAGTGGAAGAAAGGACAGAAAAGGGCCCGAAGAATAATTACTTGGTTCTATACGACAGATGTGCTTTTACAGGATTGTAGTGTAGGATGACATTGGGTAAGTACATCGGCCTAGAAGCCTAGGTGGAGGAGTTCTTAGGATTTTGTATGTGGACTATGAAGTTTTGGAAAAGTTTCAGCTGGAGAGAAGACATTCTGATCAAAGGTGGCTTTCGGGAAAGGTTGGTGCGACAGGCAGGGTATTAGAATGAGGCCAGTGACTCCACTCTGAAACAGACACAAAGTAAGTTCCCTTCAAGAGGCAGGAAGCTTGTTGGGATGGTGAGACCAGAAAGGCACAGACGCTGAACCCTCGTGATGGCGATAGGTCTCACGTTCGCTAGCATCCGAGAGGGAATTGGGTCGCTCCAGAGGCCATTGTGAAGGCTGCTGCGAGTTCTAGGGTCAGGGTGGGGTCAGGCTAGGTCCCCATTCATAGGGCTTTAGCACAGCTCACTCACAAGACCCCTTTTCCCAAGAGGACGTAAGGGTTTTTCCTGCCGCTCCAGCTTGTCTTCTGCGGCCCTTCCATGCTTGTCACTTACCCGAGCGCAGCCAATCAGCACCTACAGGTTGGTCTACTTTCGGCCAAAGGAGAACGGGAACCTGGTGGGGGACCTTTCCTGCGCACCAATGAATGTGTACGGAGAGGCGGGCCTGCAGGTGCGAACGAGCCAATCACGAAATCCTGGTGGCCGGCGGCTCGGAAGGCAGTCGAGCACTCGCATCCCCAAGATGGCGGCCGCAAAGGACGGTTGCGGCAAAGGAGAAATGGCCACAGGGAATGGGCGTCGGCTCCACCTGGGGATTCCCGAGGCCGTGTTTGTGGTAAGAATCACGCTGTTTCCTGGCATCTTGGGTCGAGACTGCCGACTGCCCCTTTGTTCCCGTCTCCCACCTAGGCCTCTGCTGTTGGAAGGAGCTGAGCTGAAGGTTCAGGGACGGGGTGCTCTCACTCCTCGCACCTGGAAAGATTGAGCTCTGCTGCAGCCCGCCCGGAAGACACGTAGCTCGGGAAGGTCCTAGAAGAGAACGGGGTGCGGGACCTGGGCGAGGGCGAGGGGCGGCGGGGCGGGGCGGGGCGGCCTGAGGGTCCTGCCGGCTACCGCCGGTTTTCGTTCCCCTGCTGCTTCAAAAACGGGAGATGGTGAGGAGCTCTCGAGTCCGCGTAGATGTTGTAGAGACAGTACAATGAATAGGCAGAACAGCTAGTGCCAAGATGTGAAAACAGGGAGTATCACCTTGTCTGTTGAAGGAATGCGGTGCTCGGTTGCCTCGGCGGAAGTGGAAGAAGTAGGATGATGGGGTGAGAGTGTAAACCCCTTCTGTGGCTTTCTAAGGAATTTAGATTTTTACTATACAGGCCGCTCGCTGTTCTCAGTGCCTTTTTAAAAATTTTATTTTATTTAGAAATAGTATTTGAAGACTATTCGAGTAATCAGAGAAAATGTCTTACTGGCCCTCCAGGCCAGCTCATCTTTCTGTCCCTATTTAGTTGTACTGAGCTGCTATAAAATCTTTATGAAAGTTTCTCAACCTTTTGATTTATACCTTCCCTACCTCTGCCTTTTTACTAATCATGTCTTATATCCTTCAAAACACTAATTTATTTACACCACACTTCATGTTGTCTATTTGTATTTGCTGATTGAATTTCGCAATTGTTTATAATTTTCTGTTTTCATGAGCTGTGCCATTTATTTCTTTACATTAATCTATTATCTAATAAGGAATAAAATTCGTTGAGTGCCATGCACTTTCTTAATTATTTTACTAAACTCTAGGTGGTAGCTACTGTTAGGTCTGTTTTTAGATGTTAAAACCGTGGTAGAAGGCCCTTGAGTAACTTGCCCCAGGCCACACAGGATGTAAATGAGGTATCCAGCATTTGAACTTGGGCAATCTGTGGAGGTCCAGACCACCAGCTTACCCCTCATGCTCTGCTGCTGTGAGGAGGTGAGTAGTTCTCATCCACTGTGTCATTTCTCCTGGCCCTAGAATAGTGCCTGACACATAGTATCACCTCCTAACTATGTGTCTAATTAAATTTCCGTACTGCCTTAAACGTACATTCATAGTACTCAGCTAGAGAAATCTATATCCAGAGGATACACTTTATCTGAGGTCTGTATAACATCTTAAAATGCTTCTTCCCTAGAATGTCATGGTTATTTTTTTGTAGACCTTAAAATTTCTATTGACATAATGTAATAAGCAACCCAATTTTATATAAATTTCTATTGACAGTATAATAAGCAACCCAATTTTATATGATTGTTTTTGTTCCCAAACTGTTAATAATTGAAGTGACATGGTATTGTTGAAAGACCATTGGCTTCTAAATTGACCAGGGTTTGAATCCTGGCTCTGGTTCCCAGTTTCTGCTTAACCTTAAGCATATTATTTTACCACATTGAGCCTGAGTTTTTTTAGCTGAAATAGGGATGACAATACTTAAGAGAGTTGTTATGGTAAACAGAGAACATGCTTGAGTATTGCAGTGTAGTAGATGTCGAATAAGTATGAATTCTCATGATGATAGGAGGCAATATACCACAGTTGTTAAAAGTCAGACCCGGTTCTTTCCCCAACCCCACTGACTCAGTAATTTCTTTTCTTTCTCTGCTTGAATTGTTCTTTCACCCTTGTCCATTTCATGACCTCTTCATCTTTCCACTTGTAGTTCATATATCACCTCCCTGTTGTTTTTTTCTGACCTCTACTCCAAAACGAAATCCCTGGCACTTTGTGTCCCAATGGCACGTTATGCTATAGATAGAAGAGAACTCTTAGAAGCATCTCATATATGCTTAGAGTATCTCATACTCTTAGAAGCATCTCATATATGCTCACTCATTTAATCCCGGGTGATGAAAAGGTACTTGTAGAGATGATGAGGAAACTGAGGCAAAGAGAGGTTAACTGACTTGCCTAAGGTCACCTCATCTAGTAAGTGGTGAAGCTAGGATTCAAACCAGGCAACCAATCTCTTAACCACTGCTGTAGTTAATTCATGCTAAACTCCAGCACCTAATAACATGTATCATGTGCTAAAACTTAGGCTTCTTTCTCTTCCCTGCAGTGACCCTTCTAGGAAGGTGACATCTCTCTTTTACATGCAGAACTCAGCCATTAACTCTCAGCCTTACATTTGCAATTTCATTTACTGTCTCTAGTTTGTTGGCTTCATAGCACTCCCTTGCTGTGTTTCTCTTCCTTTTTCTTCATTGTTTCAGCTAAGATATTCTCTGGTAGCTAATAAATATGGATAAGAATAATGATGTGGGCTGGGCACAGTGGCTCATGCCTGTAATCCCAGCATTTTGGAGGCTGAGGTGGGTGGATCACAAGGTCAGGAGTTGGAGACCAGCCTGGTCAACATGGTGAAACCCTGTCTCTACTAAAAATACAAAAAAATAGCTGGGCATGGTGGTGTGAGCCTGTAATTCCAGCTACTCGGGAGGCTGAGGCAGGAGATTCGCATGAACCCTGGAAACGGAGGTTGCAGTGAGCCGAAATTGTACCATTGCTGAGCAACAGTGTAAGACTCCATCTCAAAAAAAAAAGAATAATGAAGTAAAGATCTTAGAAGCCGTAATTAAAGTTACTTATGATAAAGAACTAAACTTCCATAAAGTACTACACGGCTCTTGTAGTGTCTACGTTTCCATATATTTTCATCTTGTTTCTGATCCTTATCTAATTAACCAGCCTTTGTTCAAGGACCAGCATGTGGTATAAAAAAAATTTAACATCAGTTTTACTGCTTCCTTTACAAAAGATTATTCTGATTGCCTTTTAGGTGACTTTGTTTCACTTATTTGATACTGAAGGAAGCATTTGTGGATTGCCTTGGGAACCTAATGACCATATTTAGTATGATTTCTATGGCAAAACTTGTTGAATTAAAAATAAGTAATAAAATTGATAATCTCGGCATACAACCTATAAAATCATTTTGTGAGCATGAATGGGCAATGTGTTTGTTAGTATTTTCATATTTGTTACTAGGGATACCTGGGAAAATGCATAAAGTGGTAGGCAAGGTCATTCTTTTTCTATTTATAAATAAAAAATGAAGAGGAAGGTGAAAGAATAAATTAGCTATATATGTACTGTCTGAAATTGTCTCTAACTTTTTATAACTACAGATTAAGCATCCTAAAACTGAAAGTCTGAAATCCAGAATACTCTAAAATCTAAAACTTTTTGAACACTGATATAATGCTCAAAGGAAATGCTCTTTGGAGCTTTTTGGAGTTTGGATTTTGGATTGGGGATGCTCAACTGGTGTAATGTAAATATTCCAAAATCCAAAAAAAATCTAAAATCCAAAGCAGTTCTGGTCTCAAGCATTTTGGATAAGGATGCTTAACCTGTACTTTTAGTTAAAAACAAACCTTTGGAGAAAAACAAAGCTTTTTTTTTTTTTTATGTTTTAAAAACAAAGCATTCAAAAAATCTGCTTAGTGGCATGAATTGTAAAGTATTATTTTTGATATTTAAGGAAGATGTAGATTCCTTCATGAAACAGCCTGGGAATGAGACTGCAGATACAGTACTAAAGAAGCTGGATGAACAGTACCAGAAGTATAAGTTTATGGAACTCAACCTTGCTCAAAAAAAAAGAAGGTAAGTGTAAAAATTTCTAAGTTTTGAAAATCTTATATGGCTTGAACTTTTTAAAAATTGAGATATAATTTACATATAATAAAATATTCAGATGTCAAGTGTTCAGTCCTCCAAGATGGCTGTACCATATTAAATTCCCACCAGCAATGTACAAGAGTTCCCCTTGTTCCACATCCTTGCTAACACTTGATATTGCGTCTAAACATGGTTTTGAAAACATAATAGAATGGTTATTAAAGACTGTATTCCAAAGCTTTCAAATCATAACATCTTATATGTCTAGTTCATCCTTCTAATTTTGCCAGTGAGATAAGAGACTTCCAGAGTCTAAGACTTAATTAATTATGAAATCCCAAGATTTCATAATTAATAGGCATAGGAAAAAAGGTATCCTTACTCTAAACCCTTTATTTCCCTACATTATTTTTTAAAGCTTATAAAGTCAATTCACTGTAATAAATACTTACAGATCTCTGTTTTGTGCATGTGCCAACATTCTTCTGTCAGATAAATATTTATGGAATCCTAGCTAGATACCACATACTGTTTTGAGTGAAATAATGTCCAGTATCTGGTTTCAACAGGGACATAGGACTGGGTGTGCTGGCGCAAACCTGTAATTCCAACACTTTGGGAGGCCAAGGTGGGAGGATCACTTGAGTCCAGGAGTTCAGGACTAGCCTGGACCACATAGGAAAAACCCGTCTCTACAAATAATTAAAAAATAATTAGGCCAGGCGCAGTGGCTCACGCCTGTAGGTGGGTGGATTGGGAGGCTGAGGTGGGTGGATTGCCTGAGCTCAGGAGTTTGAAACCACCCTGGGCAATGTGGTGAAACCCTGTCTCCACTAAAATACAAAAAAAAACTAGCTGGGCATGGTGGTGTGTGCTTGTACTGCCAGCGACTTGGGAGGCTGAGGCGAGAGAGTTGCTTGAGCTTGGGAGGCAGAGGTTGTAGTGAGACGAGATTACGCCACTGCATTCCAGCTTGGGTGACAGGGTGAGACTCCATCTCAAAAAAAAAGTTAGCTGGGTGTGGTGGCATGCACCTGTGGAGGCTGTGGCGGGAGGATCGCTTGAGCTCCGGACGTTGAGGCTGCAGTGAGATGTGATGAGGCTACAAGCCTAGGCAACAGTGTGAGACCCAGTCTCAAACTAACAAAATCACATAAAAAAACAAGTACACAGTTTGGGGGAAATTATAGGTATATAAATAAAATTAGCACACTAAGTAGAGCAGTGGAGGTGCTTTGGTACAAAGTAATGAGGTATAGGGCAATGGTAACACATTACTTTATACCAAAGCACCTCATTAATCTGGAGGGGCCAAGGAGGTTCAGAGGAAGTTTCTAAGAGGAACAAATGGCTATGTAGAATTTCAAAGATTGGTTATGAGTTTGGAGGCAGACTAAAGTGAGGAAGTGTAGTCTGGGCATAAGGCACCACTTATGCAAAGGTACAGAAGTTTGTTTGAAACTGAGATCTTTTATCTTTCTTTAATTGGAAGTTTTGTGATTATCACTTTTTCTTTTTTTGTCATCTGTTAGTTTTTTTCTCTTTCTTTCTGAGATTCCTGTTTACAGATGTTGTCGCTTCTAATTCTGTCTTACATTTCTTTATATTATTGCCTTTTTTCTGTCTTTGTCATTTATCTTTTGGCAATTAGATGGATATCCATGAGTTCTTTATTTCAGCCGTTACGTTGTTTATACCTAGTAGTTTTGGTTGGTTTTTCTTCATATTACCAATATCTTTTCTTTTTTTCTTTGTGGTATCTTTAAGTATTTAATGTATAATTTTTTATCTTTTGGTGTTTGTTAATTTTGTTTCATATGATAGAGGTCGTTGAATTTATTTATCATAATTATCAAATTATAATTTCTTTTCCCTGTCAGCTTAGTTTCCCTCAGGGATATCAGCTACTTTGGCCAGTAATATGTGTGGAGGTGGGGGTACTTTAAGTCATTCCTAGTGGGTAGGGGTGGGAGGAATGCTGCTAGTATCCCAGTCTAAGGACATAGCCGTCAGACAAATACTTCTCCCCAGCCAGGTAATGCCACCTCTGGGGGATTCTTTCAATTTCTGCTGTCTTCATTTATCATCTGAGGAGGGAAAGGGAGTGGGGAGAGGTGGGCTGCTGGGGACTAATACTTGTAATTCTCAGCTTCCCAGTTTGGCCTTCCCTCTGCCACTGACCAATTCTGCCATTTTTCTGCCCTGTAGCAGTGATAAGGCAGGTAATGTGACTCCCTGGGGCAGTTCAGAGGGAGAAAAGGAGCACAGCTAGAACATTTTCTTTTAGCTTTGTTCCTCTTTTGAAGACTTGATTCACTTTCCTTCTAAGCTGCTGTCTCCCCTCTCACAGCCCTAGCCCCTCCTAGGACCTGGAGATTTCCATTGCTGTTGCAATAACAATGACCTGGAGCTGACAGAAGTGCCCTTTGTCAGAAGAGTAGATAAAAAAGTTGTGTTTGTTATATTTGTAATGGAATATTACACAGCAGTGAAAATGAATGAACAAATCTTAGGATCTTGATTGAGTTTAAAAAGCAAACCCCAGAAAAATGCATACAGCATGAGACCATTTGAATTAAGCTCAGAAATCACCAATGCTAAAGAATATTTTGTTTAGAGATACACACAAATACAGTGAAACTAATTGAAAAAGAAAAAAACAGGACTGTAAACACACAGTTTAGGCAAGCTACGTTCTCTTTTGTTTTTATTTATTTTTCAAGATGGTGTCTCGCTCTGACGCCCAAGCTGGAGTGCAGTGCCACTGTCTTGGCTCACTGCCACCTCCACCTCCTGGGTTCAAGGGATCCTCCTTCCTCAGCTTCCCAAGTAGCTGGGATTGCAAGCACATGCCACCACGCCCAGCTAATTTCTTTTTTATTTTTTTTAGTAGAGACTGGGTTTCACCACGTTGGCCAGGCTGGTTTTGAACTCCTGGCCTCAGGTCATCTGCCCACCTCGACCTCCCAAAGTGCTGGGATTATAGGTGTGAGCTATCGTGCCCAGCCATGCTACTTTCTCTTGAGGTGAAGCAGGGTGGGGAGGAGTGTATTGCTTGGGCAGGTACAATGTCATTGGTGGTCTGGTTCCTAAGTTGGCTGATTGACTCATTTATATGCTTTATAACATACTACATATAGTATTTATGTATATAAAATGCATCTTAAAAGTCATTTACATGACCAAAAAATCTTGATCTGAACATACTTCTTAAGTTGTATGTGTATCACATATTTTATAAATGTATACCATCTTTCTGGTGTTTACCTATGTGAACATATCACACAAAAGTAAGGAAACTTGAGCAATCTGTAGCATCCAGATTGAATTTTAGTGAAAAAATAAATGCCAGGTATTTCTAGATTATTTGCTGGACTGTATTATCAAATGATGACACGATTTTTTTTTTTTTTTTTTGAAGCAGCAGGCTCATTGAACACATTTCTTGCCAGGTTAGTAGCACAGGGTATAGTAAATTTGCCCTGCTAACCTTCTACACACATGGAGTGACTTCTTTAAGTTCGTTTTCAGTGTTGTATTTAAATTTTGTTTGCATTCTGGTCTCTAATAATATTTAGTTAAATGTACCCTGAAAGAACCAGAGCTTTGTGTTTATATCCTTAGTCTGTTTTGCAGAAATTACATTGTGATTTGACAGAGAACCTAGAACTGCATCTAATCACCATAAAGAGCTAAACCCCAGTGACAAAAAAGACATCATTGTTTTCCCTCTTTAATTGACTGAATATTTTTAGCATAGTATATTTTTCTCTTATGCTCTTGTCAGTGAGGTTGATTGCATTCGGGAGTCACTTACTAGCATTTTGCTAGTACCTATCATAGAACTTATCCGTTAAGTCTGATCAGTCGTGTCATGTCCATCATTTTTAAAAATTTCTTTTGTTTAAATCAGTGATCCATTTATAATTTTAAGAACGATTGTTACCTAATTTGAAAAGAAGAGCATTTATCAACATAAAAATTAGGGGAGGAGTACCCAAAGCTTCAAAGAATCACTAAATTGTACTATATCATAATGTGGTATGTTTGGCATTCAGTTGGTGCTGTAAGTTTTTCACAGTGTGACAAATACACGCACTGAGAAGTTGTCATTGTGCTTTGCCTGGCATTTAGCTGACTGTGATGTATGTGTATGGACTGAATGCACACACCAGAAACAGCTATGTGCATGTCTGGATAGGGGATTAGTAGCTTCTGTTTTAGAAGATAACTTTTGAATGCATGTTATTTTAAAAATTAGTATTAAAATTTATCTATTTAAAATGTCATTGTAATTAAATGCAGAACCTTTGAATCTCCTCTGTGGAATATAGTCTGGTCTAGAAATGTTAAATAACATTGGGTGTTTGACATAATAGAACAGAGCTTTGTCTTTATGGAATAGGCATTCCATAAACATTCGCTAGGATATCTTAAATATTTTTATTAAGTATTTATACTTTAAATGTTTTATGAATATTTTACTAAATATACTTTCTTTAGGTAAATAGTTCATTAAATATTTTATTTTTATAAATACTTATATCTTAAATATTTTATCTCATATCTAAAAATATCTTCAATATTTTACTGTTTTACTTTTTTATTTTTTTCTCATGTGTGCTGTTGCAGAATATCTTAAATATTTTATATCGTAAATAGTCCTCAAGAACACATTAGTAGAAAATGCAAAGTTAGTAAGACCATGTCCTGTTGTTTATTTTTGCCTGCAAAATACTAAGTTAGTCTTTTTCTTGTTCACAGGCTAAAAGGTCAGATTCCTGAAATTAAACAGACTTTGGAAATTCTAAAATATATGCAGAAGAAAAAAGTAAGTGTATTTTTGTTTATAAATATGAGCGAACTAGGATATATTAGTAGCAGCTCGTCGTCTTTGACTCTTTGGTCACTGATATTTGATCTGTGCTGTGGAATCCAGTCTGCCTTCTTAAGTATATACACTAATGTTATGATGTGCTTCCGTAGCAAATGTGGCTTTGTGGTCTTCCCCCGAAAGTCATGTTTCACTCTAGGGCCCACACGTGGATGACTTTGCTTATCTTTAGTGCTTGTGAAACTTAAATGCAATTTGAAATTGTTTGGGAATACAAAGAAAATTTCTTATTTTGTGCTAGCAGCATCTAAGGGTTTTTTCTTTGTTGTTGTCATTCTCCCTGAGAATAAGGAGTTAGTTCAAGATTTATAGAGCTGGAAAGAATCTTAGAGATCATCTGTTTCAGGTACTCATTTCATAGTTGAGGATATGGTTTCAGAGAGATTATACTTGACCCATGTTTATGTAGTTAATTACTGTCAGAACTAAATTTGAGAGTCTTCTAAGTCTTAATCCAGTATTCATTAAATAAAAGCAGGTTGTAAATATTAAATCTCATAATCATATTGTATTGAAAAGATTGTGTGTGTGTACTTACGATTTTGCTTGACTGGTAGAATAACTATTTCTAGTACATTTTACTATGTGGTGAACTTTGTTAAGACTTCAGCAATTGATTGGGCATAAAGCACGAATGAAATAATAGCTAATTCTTATAATAACACTTTCTCTGTATGTCAGGCGCTGGGGTGTGTTTGCGTGTGTATGTGTGTACTCAGTGCTTACCACTGCCTTCATAGGGGTAGGGACTCTCATGATCCTCATTTTGCAGATGAAGAACCCAAGATACAGAAGTTGAGTGAGGTACCAGATTTGTAAAGCTAGTGAGTAACTGAGCCAGAGTCAATACCCAGCTATCTGGCTCTAGCATTCATTTATTTTACCACTACACTTAACCTGCATGATGGTACTGTTTTAAATGTCCTAGGTTCAACTGTGCGATCTCTCCTTTATAACTTTGATATCAAACTGGTCTGTTTATGGCACTGTCATTTTTTTTTTCGAAGGAGTCCACCAACTCACTGGAGACCAGATTCTTACTGGCAGATAACCTGTATTGCAAAGCTTCGGTTCCTCCTACCGATAAAGTGTGTCTGTGGTTGGGGGTAAGTAAATGTTATAGCCACAGCTGATCTATTTGTAAACCAGTGTGTTTTCTCCAGCAAACACAATGGTTTTGCTAGTATTTTAATAGTATTGCTTGAGATGTATAAAGTGTTCATCTCCTTTTGATTGCAGAAGGGACAAAGGGCAGGGTTCAAGTGGTTCGTATTAGAAACTGACTGAAATCAGGAGTGTGATCAAGATCGCAGCAAAACATACTGATCAACAACATAAAACTGATCAAACAAACCTTGCTTCTCTTCCAGTTAATGCTTTATCTCTCTTAAATATAATGGAGGAAGAGCAATAGAAGGTACTGTTGAACTTTAGATAAATGCTTCTTCCCATAAGAGTTTAATAATTCTAGAAAGATCCCTCTAAATTTAAGGGGAAAAAGAGTATTGCAGAAAGCTTTAGGTTAGAGTTTATTTTTTAAAACCATATATTTCAGTTTTAGATGATTTCATTGAGCTTGTCTGTGATTTATCTATCTTGGCTCTTCTCAGTCCTCTGACTATCCTGCTAGCTGTCCGTGAATATTGTTACCTCAGTCGAGTTCCATACAAAGTAGCAAGCCGAGTGCACTTCTCCCAGCTGTTCTATTGGGAGGATTCCCTGTAGCTGCTGTCCTGTAGGGTTACTCCTGAGAGGCACTCTAGTGCTATGAAAGATGGATAAATTAGCCCAAGGAAGTTTGCTTCTCTGCCCATTAGTTCATCCTCCTGATTTTTGTTGGTTGTAATATTTTCAGAGTTTGTACAACATTGACATTTCACTCTACAATCATAATTCCTACACTTAGTCTTAGTTCTGTATTTAAAAGGAAGGATTCAGTATCACTAAGGCTTTTTAAAAAATAACTTGGAAGCGTAGCAACTATACCTGAGTGTCTAAGGGTTGAATGATTTTCCGTATTCAGGTTTTTTTTTTTGTAGAAATTGCATGATCTTTTGATTCACAAATTCAAGTGTTACTTGATTTCAGGAAAGATAATTTCTGTTGTGTACTTGAATGTGAATTTTGCCCCACTTTTATTATCTTTTGGGAATAATAAATATGCATATGTTGGATCTCCTTTGTCTCTTTTCAGTACCTATCATGTTCTCTGTTTCCAGTTATTTGACATGTTTCATTTTGTGTGATTTCCCCCGGCCACTTCCCCATGACTTCGTGTTTTCCCTTGTAGTTATTTTGTTTTGTTGCTTTTACTCTGTCTTTCATAACTGTTCTTCTGTTTCTTTTTCTCTTCATTTTCTTTGCTGAGCTCTTCTAGCTCTTTTCATCTTTTCCTTCTTTTATTCCTCTTGAATGCTTAAATCCCCATTTCACCACTCATAGACTAGCACTTCCCACAGTCTTCCCCATCTCAGTAAATGGTAGAATCTTTTGCCTCGTTGCTCAGAACAAAAGTCTTTAAGTCTGGACTCTTTTCTATTTTATGTCTCTCAACGGGTCCTTCAGCAAACCCCGTTGGTTCTTTCATCTGAATGGATCGAGAAGCCAACTATCTCTCACTGTTACTGTGGTCCAGGCCACCTTTGTCTCTTGCCAGGACTGTGGGAATAATGTCTGTATTAGTTTTCTGGGGCTACCATAATAAAAGTATCACAAACTGGGTGGCTTTAACAACTGAAATTGATTGTCTCACAGTTCTGGAGGCCAGAAATCTGATCAGCTCCAGAATCAGGGTCAATTCCTTCTGAGGGCTGTGAGGGACAATCTGTTCCAGCCTATTCTCTTAGCTTCTGATGTTTGCGGACAGTCTTTGGCATCTTGATATGTAGAAGCATCACTGTGATCTCTGCCCTTCATCTTCATATGTATGCAGGCATGTGTCCAAATTTCTTCTTTCAAAAGACCCTATTTCCAAATAAGGTTACATTCTGAGCTCCTAGGGGTTAGGAGTCTAACTTATTTTTTTGTTGGGGAGACAGAATTCAATCCATAATACCTTACTTCCACATAAGGTCACATTCACTAGCATAAGGGACCAAAACTTCAGTATCTTTTTTGCATGACACTTTTTAACCTGTAATAACTTCCTAATTCACTTTCTTGCTTCTGCCCTTGCTGGAATTCCTAAAGCCTTTCCAGCACAGTGATCAGAGCAAGCCTTTAAAATCTCAGTCAGGTCATGCCATTATTCTGCCCAAAAGCTTTGAGTCGTTTCTTATCACATTCTGAGGAAAAGTCCAAGTTCTTGAGTGGCTGACAAGTTCCTACACATCCTGGTACTCTGGTACTTCTTTCTCTCTCTCTCTCTCTCTCTCTCTCTTTTTTTTTTCGAGACAGAGTCTCACTCTGTCACCCAGGCTGGAGTGCAGTGGCGTAGTCTTGGCTCGCTGCAACCTTTGTCTACTGGGCTCAAGCAATTCCTGTGCCTCAGCTTCCTGAATAGCTGGGATTACAGGCATGTGCCACCATGCCTGGCTAAATTTTTTGTATTTTTTGGTAGAGACAGGGTTTTGCCATGTTGGCCATGTTGGTCTTGAACTCCTGGCCTCAGGTGATCTGCCTATCTTGGCCTCCCAAAGTGCTGGGATTACAGGTATGAACCACCACACCCAGCCTCTCTGTTCTTCTCTTACTTAATGCCCTACTTCCTTGCTTGGCCACACTTGGACTTCTTGCCGGACTTAGAGCATGCTGGGAATGGCCCTACCTCAGAACCTTTATTCTAGCTCTTTCCTCTGCTTAAGCTGCCAGAGTAATGTTTTTAAAACATGTCAGATCATTCCACTTCCTGCTCGTGACTCCAGTGGTTTTCATCACCAAGGGTGGAATACAGAGGTGTCCTTTTCACAAGACAGCCCCACTTCCTCTCAGCACTCATCTCTAACTGTTCCTGGAATCTGCCAGCGTGGCCCCACATTTCTACTTCTGTGCTCTTCACACCCAATCCTTTGAGTTCTCTGTTTCAATTGTTAGCTCCCCCAGGGACCTGCTATGACTTGTCTGTCAGCATTCCTTGGTGTCACCCTGTTTATCCTGTACTGTTTTCCTTCATAGCACTTACCAATAAGTTATGTTATTGATTGATGTATTTACTAGTTGCCTGACACATAATATGTGCTCAGTAAAAATTTTTCTTGAGTGAATGACATTTTTTTTGGTATTTTGTCAGTTTATACATGCTAATGGTTAGCAAAGCAAATAAAACAAAGTTTTACAATAGAAAGCTACATGCTACTGCTTCATCCCCAGATGCACCCACTTTTAATCATGTCTGTACCTCCATATGTAGGTAAATATTGGGGATTTTGTTAATTGGTTTTACAGAAATGGGATATATATTGTTCATTACCTGACTTTTCACTTAATAGCACAGATGTCTTTACTTGTGAGTAGACACAGAATTTGCCTCCTTGATGTTATTGGCTTACTGTTTTGTGGTAGGGCTATGTGGTAATATTCCCAAGTCAAAGGGTGTTTGTTTAGATTGTTTTCAAGTCTCTTGTAGAGTGAGCAAGCGGTGCTGTAGTAAATATTTTTGCACTATAGACTTGTACACAAAGGCATATTTTTGTATGCTGCTTTGAAATGGATTTGTTATGTCTAAGAGTATGCAGATTTAACATGTTGATGGATACTATCAAATTGCCCTCCAGAAAAGACTACCAATTTTCATTTTCTCCAACAATACATGGAAATACCCTTTTATTCACAGTCTCAACCACATTTTTAGATTTTTGCTAGTTTTATAGGTGAAAATGGTATTATAGGTTTTTGTTTGATAAAATGCTCATTCGTATTTCCTCTTCTGTTTGCCTTCCTGATTACGTTGTTGGTCCATTTTTCTGTTGAATTATTTCTGTTTTTTTTTTTGATAGACATTTAGGCCTTTATATATTATATGTTTGGGATGCAGAGTCTTCTCTTCATATTGCAGATACTTTTTCTCATCTGTTGCTTGTCTTTTGTGGTACCTCTTATAAGTTTTAAATTTTAATGTAATCAACTATATCAGATGTTGGTGATTTTATTTATCTTAACAATGTACCCGTTTCACCAAATTTGCAAACATTTTCTTTTTCCTAATATTTATATACTTAAATTTTTTTGAAAACTTTTTTGTTAAGAATAAAATGGAAAGATAAGCAACTCAGCAGGATAATTCGTGAGTGACTTCCAAAAGGAGGGCCTCCCGATGGCCAGAAAACATATGAAAAGTTGTCCCACTTCATTAGTAAATAGGGAAATGCAAATTAAAAGCACAATGTGTTCTCACTGTGCACCCACCAGAATGGTAGGGTGATACTAAGTGATGGTAGGATATGGAACAGTGAGAACACTGATTTACTGTTAGTGAAGATGTAAATTGACCCAGCCACTGGGGAAACTGGCACTATCTGTTAAAGCAGAACATATGCATTGCCTATGCCATAGCAGTTCCATGCCTGTTTCTATCTCTTTCTGCCTCTTGCTATATATAATAGATATATATAAATATTAACTAAAAGAGAGGTATAAGAATGTTCATATCAACTCTGTAGTAACCCAAACTGGAAACAACTCAAATGTTAATCACAGTTGAATGGATGCCTAAATCATCATGTGTTCAAACCGTGGAATACTATACAGTACAGAGGAGGAATGAACGGCTGCTACACACTAGCACTGCAAGGGTGATTTTCACAAACAAGGTTGCAGGAAAAAAATGCATAGCAAATCACCACAAATTTAGAGGCTTAAAACAATATCCATTATCTCCTAGCTGTATAGGTCAGAAATCCAGATGAGCTTGGCTGCGTCCTCTGTCCAGGGTCCCATAAAGCCAGAATTAAATTGTCAACAGGGCTGTACTGCTTATTAGCAGCTCTAGGGTGGAGGGGGGGAATTAGATTTCAGCCTCGTTCACGTCGTTGGCAAAATCCAGTTCTGTGTGGTTGAGGTCCCTATTTCCTTGCTGCCTATTGTCCAGGAGTCAGTCTCAGCTTCTAGAGGCCACCTGGAAGCCTTGGCTTGTGGTCCTTTATATTTTCAAAGCAGTAATATGACTAATCTTTCTTACATTTCAGATCTTTCAAACTTCTCATTCTGATGCGAGCCAGAACAAGTTCTCCGCTCTTAGGGGCTCGTGTAATTAGATTAGGTTTACCCAGGCAGTCTGTATATTAAGGTCAGCTCTGGCAGATGACATAAATATCTCATCAAAGTCACAGATTACAGAGATTAGAATGGACAGCTATTATGGGAGCCATAATTCTTGCCTACTGTAGAAGTCAGTCACAAAAGAGCACATATACTGTGTCACTCTGTTTATATAAAGTTGTAATACAGGCGAAACTATGCTCCAAGTCAGGATAATGGTTACCGTTGGGGTCAGGGTGCTGGTAGTAACTGGAACGGTTCACAAGGAAGCTTTGGGGTGTTGGTGATAACCTGTCCTCGATCTGGATACTGGTTCCACAGGTGTGTTAAGTTTGTGAAAATACATCAAGCTATATATGATATGAATTCTTTATGTGTATAATGTATATAAACAAAAAAATCAAAACTGCCGAAAGCAAAGTACAAGTGAACGAATCTGTTATTAGGGTTCAACCAAAGAAATAGAACCTGCATAAACTTGTGTACAAAGGTGCAAGTGCAAGTTAGTATGTGTGTACCTCATGATTTCATACTGTTACTTCCGATTCAAATTCAGGACAACAGAGTTTTCACTTTAGTTGTTCCTCTGTTTTTTTTTTTTTTTTTTTTTTTTTTTTTTTTTTTTTTTTTGAGATGGAGGCTTGCTGTGTTGCCCAGGCTGGAGTGCAGTGGTGCAATCTCGGGTCACTGCAACTTCTGCCTCCTGGGTTCAAGCGATTCTCCTCCCTCAGTCTCCTGAGTACCTGGGATGATGGGCACATGCCACCACATCTGGCTAATTTTTGTATTTTTGGCAGAGATGGGGTTTCACTATGTTGGCCAGGCTGGCCTTGAACTCCTGACCTCAAGTGGTCCACCCGTCTTGGCCTCTCAAAGTGCTAGGATTACAGGCGTGAGCCACTGTGTGCCTGGCCCCTCTGTTTCTTCTGTATCAAGAATCCTGGTTTTCAGAAATACCAAGGGTGTTAGAATTGAACTAGACAACATTACTATTCATAAACAAAACTTTCTTAGAATAACACTACCCAACACTGTTACCACTGACATTTTTGCATGTGTTCTTCCTGTCCTTAACCATTCTTTATAAGGTTGTTCTCATATTGTTGGAGCACAGAGCCATTATATACTGTTTGCTTGCTCTCTCTCGTGTCTTTCATTTATCCTTGTTCTTTGTGTAAATACTGAATGCAAATCATAGTCTTTATGTTGATGTCCCCCCAGTCATTTTGATTGTCTGTTACTCCTTCGTTTGATACTCTAGTAGATTGTGTTAAGATTTATGGGAATGATAGTCCCTTAGTTGTCTGATATTGCTGACAACTTGTCTATGGCCTTTGTACTTGAAATTCAGTTTTGCTGGATATAATACCGTAAGCTCACATTTTATTTCCTTGAGCATTTTATACATTGCTCCATTTTCTTTTGTTGTAAAGCGTCACTGTCAAAAAGTGTGATGGCAAACTGATTTTATTCCTTTATGAGTAATGTGTTCTTTTTGCCTGGATGCTCAAAGGACTTTTGGGTCAGTTTCCCCGGTATACAATGTACCCTTTCATTTCATTTTGTGTGTCATTTCACTTACCACCTGTGTGTGTGCGTGTGTGTATGTATGTATGGACATGGGTGTGTGACATTTCAGGAACATTTTGTTGAAGGATTTACAGTTTTTTGTGGTCCCCTGCTTTGGTTATTTTCTTTGTGGATTCTTGTTATATTTTTTTATGTTCAGTCTTTGCTTATGTTGAATATTTTTGTCCTATCTGAATTTTAATAGAATTTTCTGATTATAGATTGAATTATTTAGTCAGTAAGTATTTATTTCATGTTGTCTGGTTTAATCTTTACAAGAATACTTTGAGTAATTTTAAAATTCCATTTGCAAGATGCGGAAAGTGGTTTAGGAAATGCTCAGTGGTAAGTCAGGTGATAGGGGGAGTTCAAAGCTATAAAAGATATGCTTTCCCTCTTCCAAGGTATATGCATCCCTGAATATTGGCAGTTACACTGTATCTTCAGGATGACAGACACGTCACCTTGCCTTAATCCCTAACATCTGTCAGAAGTAGTAGGAAGGGAAAAGTAAAAGCTAGCTGTCTTTCTTACCTGAAAAATTTTAAATTAACATATCTCAAACTCAGAATTTATTTAAATTGATGCAAACTTAACACTAGTGTCACGAGGGAGGTAGTAGAAAGATAGGATTTTGTATCTAAACATACTGGTTTCTCATCCTGACTGGCTATGCCACCTGATGCAACTTCAGCCCTCATTTCTCTAATGTAAAGAAGATAACTTTGGCCTCACCAGGGTTGAGAATTTAATGATACAATGTATGTAAATATATTCTTTAACCAAGGGGTCAGCAAACTTTCTGTAAAAGGTCAAATAGTAAATATTTTTGGTTTTGAAAATCACATGGTCTGTCTCAACTACTCAGTTCTGCCATTGTGGTATGAAAGCCTGAGCAGAGAATAGATCCAGTAAAACTTAACTTACAACAGAAGGAAGCAGGCGGGGTTTGACCTGAGGGCTGTAGTTTGCCCACACTTACTCTAACCTGTAAAGCACTGTGTAAATATTGAGTAATTGTCATGACTTTCTCTCTTCAGGCTAATGTAATGCTTGAATATGATATTGATGAAGCTCAGGCATTGTTGGAAAAGAATTTATCGACTGCCACAAAGAATCTTGATTCCCTTGAGGAAGACCTTGACTTTCTTCGAGATCAATTTACTACCACAGAAGTCAGTATCCTTTCTTAAAAAGCAAGGGAAAAAAGGTGAAAGATTTAAAAAAAAAATTCTTTCATGGGGGGAGGGAGAGCATTAGGAAAATAGCTAATGCATGCTGGGCTTAATACCTAGGTGATGAGTTGATAGGTGCAGCAAACCACCACTTGTAAATACACCTCTTGTAAATATCTTTCCTATAGTTACAAGAGGTGCTCGTTTTTACCCTTTTACCCTAAATATCTCAGTTCAAGCATCAGAGCATTCCTGAACATTTTCTAATCCTCAGGGTGTTTTCTTGTGTGCTTGTTTAACACATTCTACTTAGTTTTCCCTTCAAATGTAGGAGCTGCACTTTCTCTTCTTTGCCGGTATGTAGCATGTGACAGGTGTTTATGGTTGGCTAAGGGAAGGCAGGCCTTTGGGGCCTAGTGCAGGGATCATCATCTGGCCGGTAGTGTGGAAACTTCATTCAGCTGTGAGATGATGAGGACCTAGGAGGGGTGGTGCTTGTGGAAAGTAAAAGATATTAAATGTGAGAGAAAAAACAGGATTCAGTGACTTAGATAGATACAGGAGCCAAAAGAGAGGAAATCCTTTAAGATGAGTCTTATAAGCTTAGTTAAATGCTATTTGTTATTGCTAGTATTACAAAAGGTAGGAAGGTATGTAGACATGTGAGGGAGCTAGGGTGGACAGTCTCTATTACAGTGACTATTCTACTGGAGTCTAAGCTCCATGAGGGAAAGGACTTCACCTATCTTATTCAGAGCTTTGTGTAGTGCCTCGTCAGAAACACAGTAGATGCTTAATAAACTTGTTAAGCCAAAGGGAGGGTAAGAAATAAAATTATTGATAATTGTACTAATATGAATATTACGTGGCAGGACATGAGTTGAGTGATCTTTGAAATTTCTTGGATGAGGGACTGTCTTTAAAACTATTGAGAGTGTCTAGTACATATTTATTAAATATATCATAGTTGACTAGTTGACAGTTGACTAATACCATAGCAAATAATTGGTTAACAATTGATTTGAGTCCTTAGTTTTGATAGAGTTTAACTACAGTATTTTCCTAGCAGTTGACATTATAGCAGGATATCTTACAATACTATTTGTTACCAGTATTTGTTTATGTGTGATTTATGTGCGTTTGATTCATTGTAAAGTGAATACTTAGTCATTGCATGCATCGTCTTTAGAATTGCATTTCCATTTTCTTTGACAATTCTTGCAGATATGGCCAGGGTTTATAATTGGGATGTAAAAAGAAGAAACAAGGATGATTCTGCCAAGAACAAAGCATAATACTGGCAATTAAAAATGTGGTTTAGTTTTCCAAACATGTTATCTTAAATACCCCTTTATCTTTACAGGTTGACATAACTTTGAATGTTTTAACAGCAAGAATTTTAAGAAAAGATAAACACCATTTTATTTATTTATAAAAACAAATTTAGTTTCAAATATTCTTGACATTGTGCTTTTATTTTCACATTTCTCAGCAAAGCTAATGCTATTTTAATCATTATTTTTGTCTGTCATAAGAAAATTCTTAGATGAAATGGCCGAAAACTGTGAGACATGCTGTGGAAGCTGAATGCCAGACGCTAGGACAGTTTACTTTTTCCCTTTCTTATTAGCCGATGTTACTCTCACTTGATGTGGTTAAACCATTTTAGAAGTAGAGAAGACAGACAGTTTGAATATTTGTAAACTTGTTTTTATTTGGTATATGTAGGACTTAGTGATCCTGTGTTGCTATTGTCTTCTATAAATGGGGTTTCATCACTTACTGCTTAACGAATAACTATATACTATGATATGTTGGACATTTCAGGAAATGGTAATTTGCCTTGCTACACAGTAAGAGGGCTATTAAGACAACATTTTTTTTTTTTAACCTCAGATAAGTGCATAGTGTCTTCGCAGTCCCAACAGAAGGGAGAGCTTGGCCAATGGGAAGTAAAGTTACTCATTCTAAACACTTGGCTAAGGTGATTTTGTAGTTCTTAACAGTTCTCCAGAGCATCTTGAACAGGAGTACTAAGATAAATGTAAATCTGCAATGGCTAAAAAGAGTTGTGAGCTTTTTTACTCGTGATAAAACCTTATAGGAATAGTTAAAAAAAAAAAAAAAAAAAAAAAAAAATCCCTGTTGAAAGCTACTAGTACATTGGCCAGTGCTGGGTGGTACAGATTCTTATGAAAACATAAGTGTATTAGTTCATTGCCATGTAGTAAAAAGTATACTTATACAGTGTTTTGTACTTGTATTTCGTGGTATTAAAACAATGATGCTAAAACTGTGGCAGAGCACTTTTTTCGTGTTACTCTTTTGTCTTACTATGTTCGGGCTGCTATAACAGAATACCACAGACTGGGGGGCTTATAAACAGCAGAAATTTATCTCTCCCAGTCTGAAGGCTGGGAAGTCCAAGATCAAGGTGCTGGCAGATTTGGTGTCTGGTAAAGGCTCTGTCCTGGTTCATAAATGGCACCTTTCCACTATGCCCTCACATGGCAGAAGGGGCAAGGAGCTCCCTTGGGCCTCTTTAACAGGGCACTAATCTCATCATAAGGGCTGTGCTCTTATGACCTGCTTACCTCCCAAAGGCCCCACCTCCTAATACCATCACCTTGGGGGTTAGGATTTCAACATAGTAATTTTGGGGTGACACAGAGATTCAGACAATAGCACCTTTTTAAAGTTAACATGGACCTTTTCACATGTTTGTAAAGTTTACTTGTACATATACTAGCATGTTCCAAGAACAACTTCTATTTCTAGAAACAACATAAAATCCCTTTGGAAGGATCACAGATCCTCAAACAATTGAGAAATTCATTGAAAAGGTAACAAAAGTTCCATGATTGAATTTTTCTTTCATCATTTAAAATTCTCATATTTTAGAATTTGAGATTTGTAGACATTTTGAGATATTGTATGTGCTCTTTTTCCCCAAACTTTATTATGGTAAGTATATTGATATGAAATGTTCCTGTTAATATTAGAACAGGAATGATTTGCTCTGAAGATCTTCATTTTGTCTTTGAAAATCTATATTGAATTTTTAGATAATTACAAGGTCTATGAAGAAACAAAATTCTTTAGAGATATGAATTACAGTCCAAAAATTAAGGTAATTATTTAACAAATATTTAAAAATGCCCATTATGTGTCAGGAACTGTATTAGGCTCTGTTAATTAAACGAAAGATATTTAAATCTTACCTCTGCCAGAGAATTTCTGTTACAGTGATTTACATTTTCAGAATAACATAACCATCCTGATTTGACATGTTTTCAAGCTTAATATTAATATAGCATACTAGGACAGGATATGTGCAAAAGACTGACTGCAGAACTTGATGCTGAGAAATGTATTGGAAATGCAACTTAAATTGAACTGTTTTTCATTATAAAATGGATGTTCATTTAAGAAAATTTAGAAAACAGGAAAAAAAGATGTTGAGTTCTATTTGCAGTCCCCCCTTGACATTTCTAAGTATTCTGTTTCTTTTTCTTTGCGTAGGTTTTTTTAAAACGTAGCTGAAATGATTTTGTCTTTATTTAATCCTACTTTCTTCATTTAGCATGAAATTTGTGGGTTGTTTTTAAAACTTTTTCTCTATGGTAAGTAAAGAACTGGCCAGACGTAGTGGCTCATGCCTGTAATCTAAGCACTTTGGAGGCCAAGGTGGGTGGATCACCTGAGGTCGGGAGTTCAAGACCAGCCTGACCAACCTGGTGAAACCTGGTCTTTAAAAAAAAAAAAAGAAATTAGTAAAGAACTGAGTAGTTTATGGCTATATAAGACTTTTTCTTATATTTGGGATTTTTCCTGAGACTAGATTACCAATGGAGTTATGGACTTTATTACCTGGGGTTAACTGAAGGTATTGTTTAGATAAAACTTGTTTGACACAGAGGATGTGAGGCTGCTGAGTTTTCGAACAGGTATGTTGAGAATTGAATGAAGCATTATTAACTAAGACCAACAGACAAAAACTTCAGGAATTGTTTTTGTTCTCATTTTGAAAGCACAGAATCGTAGGTATTGGCAGGTTTGACAATTTAAAATTCACAAGCCAAATTGGTGTTTTCTTTTTTCCAGCTTAATGTAACATTTTTCTAAATTCATGTTTTTCCCATACTTCAGTTGTGCTTTCCATCATCCCCTGCTCCTCCTACCCATCCTCTTCCATATAAAGACACGACAGTAGGGAGAAGCACCTTATCCAAGGCCGTACATTGGCTATGTGCACAGCCAGAATGAGAACCACATTTCCTTGCTTCTGGGGAAATGTCCTCCCTTTATACCATGATGTCTTGCTCCTTTACTTACTAATAGCTAAGTTTGGGGAAAATGTTTAGTTTTTAATGAATGGATGCCCTTCCTTTCTTTGTGGATTTGCTATTTTCAGCCTTAAACTTTACTGATGTCTTTAAAGATTTTAAACCATTTTTTCAAAGTTTGCCTTCATTGGTTCTAATTCCATACTCTTGTGATAGCCATGGCTATGACAATTTGGTGTTAATATGGGTTGAGGTTGCCTCTGAAGACACTCCTGAGTGCTAGGGCAGTACCCATCACAGCTGGTGTTGGGTTCAACTACACAAATTCCCATGAAATGGAAAGGCCTACTCTGTTATCAGTTTGCTCTGAAGGACATGGGACAGGCAAAAGAGCATGCCAGAGGGTGGCTTTAGGCAGAGTTCTGTGGGAATTATTACGGCAGTCTCAGACGGCTCAAAAGGACGAAGGAGTCAACTTGGCTTTAGAAGCCATAAGGGACCACCTTCTCTTCAACAGTTCCCTGTGCATATACCATCCTTGGCTTCTGGCTGGGGACAAGGCCCAGGAACAAGTTGCACACTGCACTCATGGCGCCCAAGCTGTGACTCACATGGAAGCATTTCTGTCTGGGTTAGGGGAAAGACAATCAGCCAGGAGGTCCAAGTAGTTAACCTCGAAATTTCCTTAATAAATGGATCTCAAAACGTTTTTCTCCTTAACTCAAAACCAAGTGAAGTTATAAACTTAGTGAACCTATGAAGTCATTGCAGAATGCAAGCTTGTGGCCAAAACTAGGCAATAAATAAATTTTCATTTTCATACTTTTTATTTTGAAATTTTTTAACTATGACCAGTGTTATAATTAGGCCTGCTAATTAACTATAGTTTCTATATATTAATACTCTTTTCTGTACTCAGGGAGAACTGCTTGTATGACCTGTTGTGAGAAGGTACCAATTTGAGATTGGAAGTGTCCAAGGCTGGAGAAATTGATTCATGTATTATGTGCATAGAGTTGCTTTTCTTGTTTGGGCTGTTAGCAGAAGATGGCCCAGGATCTCATCTGCCCATGAAAATTGATATGGATTGTGCTCTGAAGTTCAACTAGAGAATATGTTTGTGTTTGTGTTCCTCTCTTGTCTGATGCCAGATTTAGTTGTAGCCATGTCAAAAAGGATAGACCTGGTGTACATGGTAATTTTGAGCAGTTTCTTTATAAAGGATTATGCCTCTTGATTTGGTTTTCAAATAATCTTATGTGTTAGTTGATTGTGTGACAACTCTGTTAGACTTCTGTGGATACTTGATATACAGGTAGGCAATGACCAAATAGGAAAATTTTTCTAGATTTTCTGGTTCCTCAAGTACACCCATCTTTGACTGAATCAGTTTATTCTCCCTAGATCAAAACTGTGGATTCTAGAGTAAAAGTAAAAAATTTAAAAACAAAAGGTCAGTGGATAACAGTCTCTTGCATTTGTCTATTTTTGCTTATATTACCTGTGCTTTTAGAGTTATAGCCAAAAAAACCATTGCCCAGATCAGTGTTACAAGCTTTTCCCCTGTGTTTTCTTCCAGTAGTTTTTACAGGTTCAGACTTTATGATTATGTCTTTAATCCTATTTTGAGTTGATTATCATATGTGGAGTGAGATAGGGGTCCAATATAATTTTTCTGTACATAAATATTCAGTTCCCCAAGCATCATTCATTGAAGAATGTTTCCTTTCCCCATTTTGTGTTCTTGGTACATTTATTGAAAATGAGTTGGCTGTAAATGTGTAGATTTACTTCTGGGCTCTCTATTCTGTTCCATTGGTCTATGTGTCTGTTTTTATACCAGTACCATGCTGTTTTGATTACTATAGCTTTGTAGTTGATTTTGAAATCAGAGAGTGTGATGCCTCTGGCCTTGTTCATTGTTTTGGCTATTTGGGTTAAGTCCCTGAATAGCCAAAGCAATGAACAAATTTTAGGATTTTATGAATTTTAGGATTGTTTTCTATTTCTGTGCAAAATGTCATTGGATTTTTTTTTTTTTTTTTTTTTTTTTTTTGAGACAGAGTTTCGCTCTTGTTACCCAGGCTGGAGTGCAATGGCGCGATCTCGGCTCACTGCAACCTCCGCCTCCTGGGTTCAGGCAATTCTCCTGCCTCAGCCTCCTGAGTAGCTGGGATTACAGGCACGTGCCACCATGCCCAGCTAATTTTTTGTATTTTTAGTAGAGACGGGGTTTCACCATGTTGACCAGGATGGTCTCGATCTCTTGACCTCGTGATCCACCCGCCTCGGCCTCCCAAAGTGCTGGGATTACAGGCTTGAGCCACCGCACCTGGCCGTCATTGGAATTTTGATAGGGATTGTATTGATTCTATGGATTGCTTTGGGAAGTATGAACAGTTTAACAATTTTAATTATTCAGTTCATGCACATGGGGTATCTGTCCATTTATTTGTATCTTCAATTTCTTTCATTGGTATTTTACAGTTTTCAGTAGATAGACTTTTACCTTCTTGGTTCAATTTATTTCCAAGTACTTTTTGGCTATTGTAAATATGATTGTTTTCTTCATACCTTTTTCAGATAGTTCATTGTTAGCATGTAGAAATAGTACTAATTTTTGCATGTTGATTTTGTATCCTGCAACTTTCCTGAACTTGTTTATTAGTTCTTGCAGTTTTTGGTAGGATCTTTAGGGTTTCAGTATGTAAGATCATGTCATCTGTAAACAGAGACAGTTTAACTTCTTCCTTTCTGATTTGGATGCCTTTTATTTCTTTTACTTTACTAATTGCTTTATCTAGCACTTCCACCACAATGTTGAATGGAAGTGGGATGAATGGGCATCCTTGTCATGTTCTTGATCTTAGAGGAAAAGCTTTCAGCTTTTCATGTTGAACATAATGTTAACTGTGGGCTTATCAAATATGGCCTTTATTGTGTTGAGATGCATTCCTTCTTAATTTGTTAAGAATTTTAATGATGAAAGGATGTTGAATTTTGTCAGATGCCTTT